TTTAAAAACCAAGCAAGGAAAGCAAAATAAGGAGCCAGGCCTTTCTGGTGTACCAGCTACGAGAGAAGCCTCGCATATACGGCTTCCCTTTCTCACTATCCTGCTGTTTGATGACAATATCAGGTTGATCTGGGCCCAGCTCTTTCACCTGAAGTTTGTCCGCCAAACTTCTTCTCTCAAACGGCTCTTGAATGAGAGATTTTACCGAGTTAGGGTTGAGTCTTGGGGCAGTGTTCACGCTCGTCATTTTATTTGTTGTTAAAATGGCGCCTGCAGAGACTGTTCCTGGTTTTATCAGTTGCTTAGTTGGGGCGATACAAGAATCGCCCCTCCGGAAGAAGTTTTGAGGACGCTTCGGAAAATGAAGAGTGGAACAGGCGAGCAAGTGTGCAGGTGTGCGTCATATGAGAGGCCCCGCCTTACATTTTCCGCCACAGATTTGGGGAAATTGGTCCGTGCGCAAAGCATTGTGGGGATTTTAAGACCGCGGAGTCTACACCTGTGCAGCCTCCACATTTCTCGCTACGAAGTACGCCGGGCTCTGTAGAATTCCAAGTATGCTGGACATTGGAACAGTCCTTCGGTGGCACTCAATGATGTATGCTTGAAATAGTGGCTCTGGAGCAGCTTTGCTCGACATTGAGAAACACCCAGTGTATAGGAAAAGCATTTCCTTGTGTGTGTGGTTTAGGGTGGGCGGCGCCCTATTGCCCTCTATTGGCCAGCCGCCACTGGCTAATATTATGTTTTGTGTACGTGAATTTAAGGAGAAATTACACGTGGTGTTGTACACGTCTTTAACCCTCACTTATTGACGCTGCAATACTATTATTAGGGAATGTTTAAATGACCAAGAGATATTAGAATATTGTAAAACTAACATCAGAAAACAACAGGACGTGCCTTGGAACGGCCCCCGTCAACGTTAAGCCAATAGGAGAAGACTACAGTTGATGACATGAGAAGCCAGCTGGAAGCCGGTCTCTTCCCCAGCTGCACCATCAAGGATAGCCAACGGAAGGTCCATCCATCGGGGAGAGCCACCATCTTTGCAATTTCACTGTATCATCGTATCATTGTTTAATTAAACGCTGTTAACTTGTAAATACGCTTCCTGGACTCTTTTCAGCTAATCCTGAGCTCAGAGCTAAAATACCCTACAAAATATAGCCTATCTACCAATTGGATCAAATATAAAATTCAGCCGAATTAGTATTGATACTGCAAGAAGAGAAAATATATTGAAGATGTTGTTTAATTGCTGATATATTTATGATCCACGTCATGTATTCAGTTTCGGTGGCAGTTCTTCCAGATTGTCTAGAAGTCTTCTCATCAGGGCTCTATAAATAAAGAGCTACGGCAGATGTGTAATATTTAATGCAGTCGAAACGTGTATTACAATACCGTTATGTGATGACTTTCAAAGAGAAAAGCAAGCACACGCAGAATAAAGTAATTTTTTTTTTTAATGTTTTCGGATTTCATATCGCATATATCCTAGACCCTCCAGAAAAACGCGGGCTAAAATCCTTAATTATGCGATCAAACATGCAGGGTTTTATGTGATTTTATGCGGTGAAATTGCGGTAAATTGCGAAATATACAGAAAGTTGCAAAATATGCGGAACAAATTTAATATTGGGCTGTCTTATTTATTTATTCTCTCTCACACACAACCTGCCACTAACGTTAAACCCCTTTACTATTCAATTAAACACATTCAATGTTTATTTATTGTAAAAGCAATTGGGCTATTTTAATCTCTCACACACACACACACACACACACACACACACCACACACACACACACACACACACACACACACACACACACACACACACACACACACACACACACACACACACACACACACACACACACACACACACACACACACTTCTCCGCCTCATTCTGTTTTAATTTACTTGTTCGTTATCTGACCAGCTTCGATCTTGTAGGCTTCTCACCTCGTTTCTTGTAGCCCTCGAAAGGGTTTTGGAGGTTGATGCCTCGGTGAACGTGAGTTGTTTGGCTTTCTTGTCCGCAGCAGCAGAAAGCATTTTTGAATCTTTGAATGAATCAAAGTGGGTCGTCACCGTCGATGTTCTCTTATGCTCCAACACACAGTTACACGGGGTGCAGAATAGTTGCCCCCCACTTTCATGCAAGACATCGGGGTACTGCTTTGCCCGGTCTTTAGCAGAAATGTTCGTCGGTAAATGAGATGGATTCGATTTTTTCATCTTGGTGAAGAGAAACTCTCGTGTGAGCTCCACACGTTCACTCTACGCTGTTGTTTACTTTCTTTGATGCGCGAGCTGATGACGTCGCGCATCGTCAAAACGAGTTAACTTTTTTTCCCCTCAACTTTGTGTGGAAAAATGCGGGGATTATGCGGCCTTTTGATAAATATGCGGCTTTTTAAAAATCTGCGCCATTTTGCTGATTATGCGGTAAATTCTGCGATCGCAGAATCGCGTTTTTCTGGAGGGTCTAACCCAACGTGCATTGCGGCTAAAACATCCAATCACCGAGCTTCAACCATAGCTGAGGATTATGGGTAATCAACTCAGTGGGTGTATCACAATGACGCTCAACATTTCATATACGTCTGTTTCCGGTATTGTTTATGACGGATGTATTTTGTTATACACACATTCCTTCACATTTAAATTTAAATTTACATTAAAGTATTTTGTGAGGCCTAATTGATTTTTAAATATATCTAGGGTTCTAGTTGAAGAGTTTGTAAATTAACATGAACCCAAGCTGTTGCCTGGCAACGCAAATCTGTTGATAATTATGATAAGGCTTATTACTTATTGGCTTATTATTACTGTTTAGATATTTTAAACCCCAAACCGATGGAAAAACCCAACAGCAACATAAGACGGTCATAACATGACCCGGCGCTCTAGTTAATAGACAACATAATTTCATACATAATATTATTAATGACTTTATTTTGAAATTTCGTTTTCAGTGTCCTGATACGCTCCGAATAAGCCCGACATTATAGAATTAAGCAAATAAATAAAACAAGGATAATTGTGTGTTATTGTTGAGTAAATAACAGTGTGTTATTTAGAAAAGAGTAACAAATTAGAAGGAAAAAAAATACAGATTTCAGTATTCTGAGCCCCATTTATTTTCCTCACGGACGGCAAAAGTACGAAATTTGTTGTATGAACCAGACAGCTTCCGGTCTTCCAATATGTCATCATTGCACCACTCTATTGGCTGTGTTTTACCTACTTATAGTGTTTTGCTCTCTTTTTCCTGTTTCCCCAACAATATCCAGTTTTTACATGTGTTCCAAAAACTACAACTTCCCCCAATAACTGAGGAAACGTGCGGCCCTGCAGTTTTTTGGCCCAGTGAACGTCAGCTCTGCAGCATGAGTGAGCAGCAGTGTTCGTCAGGTCATATATATATCTCCAATGCTCCAATGACCGTAACTCACACTTTCTCGTGGATTGTCCCTTCCTATGATGTCATCTGCCTGAGTCACTGACCCACTTATACACACTTTTCCCTCATCAGCAAAAACAAAGTAGCACATTTCCCTTTATCTCTCCCCGCTCTGTGTCCACTCTCTTCCCCACCACGTGCAGGACAGATGGTGCTCCACTCTTTTATCGGCTGTGGCTATTTGCAGTAACATCGTCTGAGGCTATGAGAACGCCAGCTTGTGCGTGTGCAGACTGTTTACTAACGGCCGAGCTGACGCGTTGTGTCTGGATATGTGGACAGCAGGGCGGGAATTGGAAGGATGACAGGATGACTGTGTTGTGTAGCTGGCTCAGGACGCATGTTTGATCCACTGACACATGGGAGAGGTCACCCAGTTCATACTTGATATCAGGTAGATAGAAAAGTCCAGAAAAGTCTAGTTCGAAGTCTTAATATTTACATGCAAAATATGGACCATTTAACTGTTCGGTAAAACTGAAATGTTTGGTCAGAAAACTGTTCCAGCGAATTTATATGAAAAGGGATAGTAGTATTACAAAAACACACTGAAGAGCCAGGCCATTTGTAAACCTGAACTGTAGACCAAAGGATCACACACTTATTATCTTAATCATGACTTTGAAGTTTCTAACAACATAAGTCCACAAAGAATTGCCTAATGCTGTTGTCTGGGGAAGCTGAATGAAAGTGATCCCTAATGGAACAGCTTAGAAAGCAGGCTGATGACTCGAGTCGTCACATTCTGACTCCTGACTTGTCAAAAAACAGCAGCTTGGTCTATGGTGTCATGTCTGATTTTCCTCTAAGGCTATGGTTCCTCTGTTCCATTTTCAGTTATTTCTTTTTTTTTTTTTTGGGGACTAAGGTTGATATACAAATGTGCTTCAAGTAAATGTTCTGCATTCAAAATCTTACTTAAGTAAAGTATGAAAGTATTGGCATGAAATATACTAAAAGTACCAACATCAAAAGTGTTCTTTTTGCATATTGGTCCATTATAAATTCAGTAAATTAATATTTCACATCCTAAATTACTGCATTATGCTTTTTGATGCAGCATAACTGTGATCATCAGTTGGTAATTACTTAGCTTACTGCTATTTTAACGTGTAATTACATCATTATTGAAATTATAGTTTATTTATAACAATCATTTTACCAAAATGTAGTGGAGTAGAAAGAAGAAGAAGCATTATACAATTAAAATACTCAGGTAAAGTACAATTACTTCCAAATTGTAGTCTGTAACGTAATTGTACTTTAATACATTCCACCAGTGAGTGTAAGAGGTTCGGGTCTGGAGGGTGTACGGCTCGGTTTGGACCACTGTCTAACGGTACAACAAGGGTAGTTCTGTCTCTCGAACCGGGCTCACCTGCATGAGAAACCCCCCATCCCCCGCCGCTCCCTCCCTGTACTGGCTTCAAACACACGTGCAACCTTTCTAAAGAGCTGCGATTGGCTGCGACGCCTCTCTAAATCCCGCCCCTGCCTGCCTACGTCAGCGCGGCAGTGAGAGGCGCTCTGCAGCGGTGAAGCAGAGCCGCACTGCACACTGAACCGGCCTTGACGGGGCGAGGCGGCGATCACACTGTGGCCCTCATCCATCATCGCTATGGGAATTACCACAGCGTTCTTCCTGAACCAAGCCCTGATCCCGTACTACCTGAAACCGGTCCACCTGGAGACCCGGACTATAAAACACTGCAGTTGAGAGCAGCACAGAGCCCGGCTCAGTCTCTCCTCCGGTCCACTGAGGGAGGGGATCATGATGATGACAAATATCTAGAGATGAGCAGTGGTTTCTCTCAGCAGACAACTTGACATAGGAAGTTTGCTCATCTGTATTTTGTATATCACACGATGTCTGCCCTGTGTGTGTCCGCAGTGGTGAGTAGCATTCCGTTTCACTCACTGCTTGTTTTTATTCTTTATTCTAAGGACTCCTCCAGCAGGTTCTCCATTTAAAGGGACAGTACCTGTTTTTTCCGTCCCACTCAGAACTTTAAGTCAAGTTATTTCCAACTTTGACTGTCAATTCATATTTTTCTATTTGTGTTAAATACCCCAGCAGTGTGTCACTCATTCCCACAGTGGAATGATGGAGAACGAAAAGGCACTCAGCAGTCTATTGTTTCCCCTGTAACACCCTGTGTCGCACAAACAACTGGGACACAGTGTCAGTCAATTGACTTTAATTCGGAAACGTAACAAAGACATGCTTTGATTTCATGTCAACAACAAAGGAAATCAAGTGATTACAATTACATGGGATGATTGGGACATTTAAATTAAATTGTCATTAAAAAAACCGTCATGATGCAGACAGGATTCCCCTTGTTCACATGGTGGAGGTGTCCCTTGGTTATGCCAGTGATGTGCTGAATGTAGTTGGATCGGCAGCTGCTGTTTGTGCAAGGGCTCCTCATCCTCAGTGAGTCAGATGAAGCACCAGCACAAAGACTTTGCCTTTGTCTCCACTCAGAGCTGTTATGATCATTACATTCAGGGGTGCATTTGGAGGATGTTGCTAGGATGGTGGAACAGATTTGATATTATTACTAGATGTTCAAGGGAAGAAATGTGAATTCAGTTTAAAGCAGCAACAAAGCTTACGTCTGCCAAGGTTTAGCTTTTTTGGCAATTAATTTGACATTTAATCAATCTAATGACTTGGGCTAAATGTATAGTTTGTTAAGAGCTTTGTGTTCTCTTTTACCAACTTAAGGACGTTTTAAAAAGCCTAAAAGAAAATACAAAATAAGAAAATTAGAGTAAGCTAATGTACACTGTGTGAACATGTCTGCTTATGCAAACATCCATTGTATTACAAACAAAACAGATTTTTGGACTTTATTCAAAATGGAGAGTTCTTCTTTTGTTGTTGTTTTTTTGTTGAGATTTTAAGAAATGGTTACAGAGCATATTTAAATAAATGAATTACAGTTTAAACTAAATACATACAACAACAATCCAGTTCCTGATAAAATATATTAAAACGTTTGAACAATTAGAGGTATTCTACTAACAGAGTCGCTCAGGTGTTGCCTGTGTTGTTGCATTAAGCTATGGCTATGCACTGGTTTGTATCTTTATGTATGGTTTTCTTTTGTTTTTATACTTTCTCTCTCTGACAACGCTACATTTCCATATGTATCATGTGTCGTTATTATAAAGAATGTTAATATGGGCTATATATCAGGAGGCCAATGTTTGTTACTGACAGAACCCTGGCCAATGAAGATTTGTTTTAAAGCTAACTAGTGTATTTGTGGTAGGACAAGAAAACAGATGGTGATGCGTTATTAAGATGCGGACACAACATCAGAAGCACTTGGAATGGATGGAACTGGATTAAAATAGAAAAAGTGCTCTTCAAGCACTGCATCATGAAGAACCTCATAACGTTACTGGCATTAATTGGTTCTTATATACCTCACATATACATTTGAATTGAAGTTAAACCACCTGTATTGCCACTGAACACTGATTCTAAATGAGTTGCATTATTGTTTCCAATCATGCTAACTATTCAAGAGTGACTTTTGTTTACAGGTTATAGATTGGTGCAGGAATGAGTTCTAAAACCCGGAAATGAGTTAGCATTTTACCACTTCTTGTTCTCTAGTCTCAAATGCAACGTGTTTTGGTTAGATGCCATGTGTTTAACACAAACTGAAGAGATATTCACGTTTTATTCTGGAATACGTCACTAAACAGCCCACACATGAATGTCCTAAACTTATATGTGTCACAAAAACACTGGTTGACTAAAAAACATTACTAAACCTCTTCACGTCAAACATTAGCTGGCGTTAGCTTAGCGGTGGTAAAACGCAGACCGGGATGTCATTTGTTTATAGCCTAACGTTAACATTTAGATTCTGTTAATTGGAATTGTGCTTAAACAATCACAATACTGGACAAATGATCAGCTCAGTTGTTGCAGTGCTCCCTGCTTCAGTCATCTGCAGTAAACTGAAATATCAACACAAAAATAATCATCGCCGGCTTTTGTCAGTGATAAATTCAGCTCGACTGAATCCAAACAGAGCCTCTTTCTCTGGGCCGGAATGAGCGTGACTGTAGAGCTGGTGGACACGGGGACACACAGCAACAGGTGCCGCTGTGGGGGGGAACATGTGTGTGATCGTGCCTGTTGGTTGGGGAGGGCAGTGAGTAATATTGAATGAATGAGTGCGGTAGCTCGTGTGTGTGTGTCTGTGTGTGTTCATGGTGGGCCTTACTTAAATTGGTTAGTAATTACAGCTTAATGTCTTATGCCACACACAAACACAAACATACCACCCACACCCACATATTTGTTCACACGCATATTATTCTGTAACAATTGTGGTCCAACACACACCACACACACACACACACACACACACACACACACACACACACACACACACACACACACACACACACACACGCGCACACACACACACACACACATACACACACACACACACACACACAAAGCTCAGTCTCTAGGGGGCTTAGCTTGACCGCTTCAAATTCCAGAATGGACAAAGTAAGGACAGTGGACTGGTACTTTTAGAGGTGCCAGCTTGCCTTCTGGGAACTGCTGAGGCGCTCTTGAGCAAGACACTACACAGCCTGCCAGTCGCTTTATAATAGCTACCCACTCCCTTCTAAGTACTAGGAGGGGTGAAATGCAGAGTATACATTTCACTGTGTATGGTGTTGTGTACATGTACTGTGATCAAAGAGGAATTCATTAAAAAACCCTCCATTTAATATATTCTGCACAGCTTATTTGTTTTCTGCATTGACCCAGTTAATAAAGTAATTCCTGAAAACGTGCACACATTTCTTAAAGATGACAATGTTGAGCATGCTGAAACTCCACAGAGTTGGTCTACTTCCTGCTCTGTGGTTTAGTTTGTTGCTGCTCAGCGTAAATCCCTGTCACAGTCTGAGTTCAGTGTGTGCTGCAGACAGCTCTTCCTCATTCTTTACAGACCGTAGAAGTCTGAAGAATGAATAGACAGATTCTATAGGGTAAGGGTTATAGTACATTATCCGATTAAACACACTTGGTATCCTCCTTAGAAAGGTTAAATACAACATTCTCGGTGTTGGACAAAATATGTTGTAGGAACATTTGGTTTAATTTTATTAACAGCCCAACCCAAAACACCTGGCTAAATGCAACAAAAAAAAAAAAAATCACCATAGGGACACGTTGTATTTCACTTTCACAAAGAGGGGGAACTTGCAAGACACAGATAAAGAAATTTAAAAAAACGTTTTCAAAATGAAAGTGACAGTAGAGTTTTAGGATTTAAAGTCCTTTATATGGATCACGCTACATTGTATACTACATTGTATACTACATTGTGTTGGTGTCTTTTTGTCGGAGGGGCACAGATTACACATTCTCCACCCCCAGCTTTCTGTTCAATTTAGAGAATTAGAGAGCATTAGAGAAGCTAAAATACTAGAAATAAACAATCCAAAATGTAAACATATCAAATTGAATTAAAATAGCATTAAAAAAGTAGAAAATATACATAGATAGTGTGAACAGCTATCTTACCTGTTAACATATACATGTTAGGCTAACGTTGCCTTGGTTACAGAGCCTGTTGCTGTTGTTTATTGCTTTGAATTCTTTAAAACAAATATTATCTTCTTAAACCTGTATGGTAGTCAGGAGCATCACATCCTAATGTGTATTGATATATTTAGAGGGAGGGGATGAAGGTTTCAAAATTCTGATTAGATTAATTTCTACAATTTCTTTAATTCATGGTGGTTTCAGTAATCCCATGGTAATTGAGGACATAAGTAATCTAAATGACTAATGTCATCTTTATGACTTTCAGAAAGGAGAGGAGACCCACAGGTGCCTATCAATGATTGTCAACTGACAGCACAATGAGTCAAAGCACTAGCAGCAGCAGCATGATGATGATGATGTTAAATGTGTTGTTTTAGGAACATCCATTGTAAATAAATGGAATTCAATAAACATTGAATAGCATATCATGCAGTTTGTCTGTGCCTTTTCCTCCGTGTTGTCCTGGCATATAGTTTCCTCCATGGTTTGCTGTGCTGCCTGGGGATGCTCCAATCGCTCAGAGAAAGGAGTATGAATGTAAGGTTTCCCCACTGACACAGAGAGGAGGAAAAAATGGCTGGCTCAAGTCAGCAGGAGCAATTTAACTATCACAAAAGACAACAACGGCAACAACATAATGTGAGGTAATCATATTTTTCACAAAACGAAGACCACACCATGGGGAAGCTTAATGTCTGTTTAATAAAAAGACTTGAGACTCAAATGCAGGGTGAGGGTCTCATTGCAGGTCTTCAGGCTCCATTGAATCCCCCTGGGGTTCTTGTGCTGAGAGAGGGAGACACAGACAGGAGAAAGGGTTAGATACATCTAGCAACCTATAGGATGGGAAATTGCTGACCTCTTTTAACCTTCGTAATGTCCTCCCGATTACTATGCACCTTGTGCCCTCTGGGGTCAAAAATGACCCCATCTGACTTGTCTGATATTTAACGCATAAAGTATAAAATGTGAATACATTTTGTGTTACACCTTTAGTTCTACTTCAGTACAACCCATTACCACACATGTTTCCCTCAGTTTTGGAATTTAGGGCCGATAGACCCTAATTTATAATAATAATTAATAATAATAATAATTCCTTACATTTATTATAGCGCTTTTTCAATGACTCAAAGCGCTTTTACATATACACACATTACACATATATCATACATGCAATGGTCAGATACTGTGGACAATACCCACAGGAGCAAGTTCAGGTGAAGTGTCTTGCCCAAGGACACACCGGCTTTACAGACGCAGCAGCGGCGGGTTTCACCCCTTGATCTGATGATCA